CCACCACCCAATCTAATAAATACTAGAGCACTCCCGAAGAAACGGGATAGTTCTAGAAAGCAGGTGGCGTGACACTAGTCACGTGACCTCACTGACGCAACAGTATAAACAAAGTTTGCAAGAGTGCTTGAAAAAGGTTTATCAGATAATGAAGCACATACACTCCTAGAGCTGGGTAATTTAATAAACTACCTAAGAGCATAAATTATGTTGATTAGTGTCCCATAAGCTAATCTATTAGTTACAAAAATAACCATCTAGTCGAAAATAGTGTTTATGGTTATTCCAACAACCAATTAACTGAAATTATGATTAAATCAACTGTCATGAAAATAGTCAACTAATTAATTAATAAATTTACTGTCTTTTTACACAGTGTTATGTTTATAATTTACAATTGTGTAACTGTATCATTTAATGTTGTATAAGAAGGCACAAGTCTGGGAGGAAGAGCTCAAAGAGTTCAGGCCCACACCCATTTTTGTTCCCATTTTTGCTTATTGTATAAGCACTCATACTCTTCTACCTAATTTCTTCATGATTTAATAACTGTATTATTTAATTTGTATAAGTAGGCATAAGATCTAGGGGGGGGGGGGGTCTGAGCTCCCTTGAGTTTTTTTTCATAATTTAATAATAAACACAGCCCTATTGTATTCAAAAAGAAATATTAAATGTCACTGTTTTTATCTGACTGGGCTGTTAATTACAATAAAAACTTTCAGTTTTTCTGATGTCAACACAACTGGAGACTATAGCAATCTGGTTACAGCCTTAGCCAAAAACCGATTATTTCTAAATGAATACAACAATATGAATGTCAAGCAATTGTAAGTTTTTATGACTTAGCTTTGTCCAGCTACCAACAATGTGTGTGTGCTCTAGACTTTAAAGATTCGTTTTCATCAAAGAGAGAGAGTATTATGTTACACACCAGCAGCTCTTATAAGATTCTAAAGTATAGGCCGTCAAAAATGATGGGGCACATAATACCACCCACACCCAATAATATACTCTAACCTCACATTTCATAACTAACCAAAATAAATACATTTTACATAATCAAGCTTGACCAACAAAGAGGCAGAAAAGTGTAGTCAAACATTGGTAAGTTTCTTCGTGAGCCAATCAAAATTAAAATCATTCATGAAATGAATTTTTGGTGTATTCATAGAATAATTATTGGTAAAAATCAGGTAGATTAACAACTTCTAATATATAGAAAAGCCAGTACATTTTGGTAAAACTACTTTCCAACAATGGCTTTTATGTCATGTTGTTTAGCAACAAAAGTATAACCTAA